AGAAGTGATGCAAGGAGGGAAGAGTATATGGAGAAAAAGAGAGAGGTTAAGAGAGTGGTGAAGCAGTGTAAAAAGAGAGCAAATGAGAGAGTGGGTGAGATGTTATCAACAAATTTTGTTGAAAATAAGAAAAAGTTTTGGAGTGAGATTAACAAGTTAAGAAAGCCTAGAGAACAAATGGATTTGTCAGTTAAAAATAGGAGAGGAGAGTTATTAAATGGAGAGTTAGAGGTATTGGGAAGATGGAGGGAATATTTTGAGGAATTGTTAAATGTTGATGAAGATAGGGAAGCTGTGATTTCGTGTATAGGGCAAGGAGGAACAACATCTTGTAGGAGTGAGAAAGAGCCAGTTGTGAGTGTGGGGGAAGTTCGTGAGGCAGTAGGTAAAATGAAAGGGGGAAGGCAGCCGGAATTGATGGGATAAAGATAGAAATGTTAAAAGCAGGTGGGGATATAGTTTTGGAGTGGTTGGTGCAATTATTTAATAAATGTATGGAAGAGGGTAAGGTACCTAGGGATTGGCAGAGAGCATGCATAGTTCCTTTGTATAAAGGCAAAGGGGATAAAAGAGTGTGCAAAAATTATAGGGGGATAAGTCTGTTGAGTATACCTGGCAAAGTGTATGGTAGTTATTATTGAAAGAATTAAGAGTAAGACGGAGAATAGGATAGCAGATGAACAAGGAGGCTTTAGGAAAGGTAGGGGGGTGTGTGGACCAGGTGTTTACAGTGAAACATATAAGTGAACAGTATTTAGATAAGGCTAAAGAGGTCTTTGTGGCATTTATGGATTTGGAAAAGGCGTATGACAGGGTGGATAGGGGGGCAATGTGGCAGATGTTGCAGGTGTATGGTGTAGGAGGTAGGTTACTGAAAGCTGTGAAGAGTTTTTATGAGGATAGTGAGGCTCAAGTTAGAGTATGTAGGAAAGAGGGAAATTATTTCCCAGTAAAAGTAGACCTTAGACAAGGATGTGTGATGTCACCGTGGTTGTTTAATATATTTATAGATGGAGTTGTAAGAGAAGTAAATGCGAGGGTCTTGGCAAGAGGCGAGGAGTTAAAAGATAAAGAATCACACATAAAGTGGGAGTTGTCACAGTTGCTCTTTGCTGATGACACTGTGCTCTTGGGAGATTCTGAAGAGAAGTTGCAGAGATTGGTGGATGAATTTGGTAGGGTGTGCAAAAGAAGAAAATTGAAAGTGAATACAGGAAAGAGTAAGGTTATGAGGATAACAAAAAGATTAGGTGATGAAAGATTGGATATCAGATTGGAGGGAGAGAGTATGGAGGAGGTGAATGTATTCAGATATTTGGGAGTGGACGTGTCAGCGGATGGGTCTATGAAAGTTGAGGTGAATCATAGAATTGATGAGGGGAAAAGGGTGAGTGGTGCACTTAGGAGTCTGTGGAGACAAAGAACTTTGTCCTTGGAGGCAAAGAGGGGAATGTATGAGAGTATAGTTTTACCAACGCTCTTATATGGGTGTGAAGCATGGGTGATGAATGTTGCAGCGAGGAGAAGGCTGGAGGCAGTGGAGATGTCATGTCTGAGAGCAATGTGTGGTGGTGAATATAATGCAGAGAATTCGTAGTTTGGAAGTTAGGAGGAGGTGCGGGATTACCAAAACTGTTGTCCAGAGGGCTGAGGAAGGGTTGTTGAGGTGGTTCGGACATGTGGAGAGAATGGAGCGAAACAGAATAACTTCAAGAGTGTATCAGTCTGTAGTGGAAGGAAGGCTGGGTAGGGGTCGGCCTAGGAAAGGTTGGAGGGAGGGGGTAAAGGAGGTTTTGTGTGCGAGGGGCTTGGACTTCCAGCAGGCATGCGTGAGCGTGTTTGATAGGAGTGAATGGAGACAAATGGTTTTTAATACTTGGCGTGCTGTTGGAGTGTGAGCAAAGTAACATTTATGAAGGGGTTCAGGGAAATCGGCAGGCCGGACTTGAGTCCTGGAGATGGGAAGTACAGTGCCTGCACTCTGAAGGAGGGGTGTTAATATTGCAGATTAAAAACTGTAGTGTAAAGCACCCTTCTGGCAAGACAGTGATGGAGTGAATGATGGTGAAAGTTTTTCTTTTTCGGGCCACCCTGCCTTGGTGGGAATCGGCCAGTGTGATAATAAAAAAAAAAAAAATAATATTTACAGGATACTCCATGGGGAAGTGGAGAAGAATCCTTCCTCCGAAAGCTATGTGTGTTGTAAGAGGCTACTAAAATGCCGGAAGCCGTTTGCTAGTAACCCCTCTTGTATAAATTACTAATTGTAAAAAGAAAATACTTTCCATTTCTTCTTTTTCTAGTCACCTTGTTGGCTTGAAAAAAAAAAAAAAGATATTTAGCATTCAGTAACTTAATTATTTATTTGAAAAAAATTTTACTGAGATTTTTTACTCTACTGTTTTTCTTTTCTAGTACAGTGGACCCTCAACCAACGATATTAATCCGTTCCTGAGAGCTCATCGTTAGTCAAAATTATCGTTAGTCAAGTTAATTTTCCCCATAAGAAATAATGGAAATCAAATTAATCCGTGCAAGACACCCAAAAGTATTGAAAAAAAAAATTTTACCACATGAAATATTAATTTTAATACACACAAACTGAAGATTACATGCACAGTTACATGACACTTACCTTTATTGAAGATCTGGTGATGATTGATGGGATGGGAGGAGGGGAGAGCATTGATCTTCTTAGTGTTTAGAAGAGGAGTGGTATTAGGAGGCAAAAACTTCACCTTAATGAAGCTCATGTCCCTAGAAAGTCGCTCTGCCAAGTCTGAAGGATGACCAGGAGCATTGTCTAATACCAGGAGGCACTTAAGGTCTAATTTCTTTTCAAATAGGTAATTTTTCACATTGGGGGCAAATGCATGGTGTAACCAGTCATAGAAAAAGTCTCTAATGACCCATGCCTTACTGTTTGCCCACCACGGCACACACAAATTAGCCTTGACGACATTGTTTTTCCTGAACACTCTGGGAGTTTCAGAGTGATACACCAATAAAGGCTTCACTTTGCAATCACCACTAGCATTGGCACACATCAACAGAGTAAGCCTGTCTTTCATAGGCTTATGTCCTGGGAGTGCCCTTTCCTCCTGAGTAATGTACGTCCTGCTTGGCATTTTCTTCCAAAACAGGCCTGTTTCGTCACAATTAAATGCTTGTTCAGGTTTCAGTCCTTCACTGTCTATGTACTCCTTGAAGTCCTGCACATATTTTTCAGCCTCTTTGTGGTCCGAACTGGCAGCCTCACCATGCCTTATCACACTATGAATGCCACTATGCTTCTTAAATCTCTCAAACCAACCTTTGCTGGCCTTAAATTCACTCACATCACTAGTTGCTGGCATTTTTTTAATTAAATCGTCATGCAACTTTCTAGCCTTTTCACAAATGATCACTTGAGAGATGCTGTCTCCTGCTAAGTAAGTAAGTAAGTTTATTCAGGTATACACAAATACAGTTACATAGAATTATCATACATAGCAGCATATGTGCAGAAAACCTAGGATAACCCAAAAAAGTCAGACAGAGTGACTTATCTGTTTCTCGTTTATCCACACCAATAACAGTCTCTCAACATCTTCTATCACTTGCGATCTCAGTTTCGAAAACATAGTTGAACCTTTGGCAAGAACAGCTTCCTTGATTGCCGTTTTCTTGGCCACAATAGTAGCGATGGTTGATTTGGGTTTTGTGTACAGCCTGGCCAGCTCGGAGACACGCACTCCACTTTCATACTTAGCAATGATCTCTTTCTTCATATCCATAGTAATTCTCACCCCTTTTTGCTGTAGGGTTGGCACTCGAAGCTTTCTTGGGGCCCATGGTGACTAATTTTGCAGGTGCAATCACTAAAAAGGCTGTGATAATATGAAATGTTCCGATTGTATGCTTGGAAGTGACCGCGGTGGCTGGCTGGCTTGTAAACACTGGCCAGAAGTGGACGCGTCTCAGACGGAACGAATAGTGTTGGTCGAGTTTTTTAGCGCTAATCGAGGCAAAATTTTTGCGATAAAATGTATCGCTAGTCAGATTTATCGTTAATCGATGCCATCGCTGGTCGAGGGTCCACTGTATATGCACTATACACTCGCTGTTCATTATCCCAACTACAGTTGCTTGAGCTCGGGAAACTCCTTAAAGCAGGGTTTCATGCACAGTAGAATTTTGTAATTATTTTCACAAGAATCGTGTGCTTGCATTTCCTTGTTTTACTGGTGATGGTAGAACATGCATAACACATCTGGACATATTTCTTCTCATTGGAATGAAGTGTTATATAGTGCTTAAAAGCTCATCAGGATTTTCCTTGTGTAATGGGGCATCTGTAGTGGCAGTAACTCTCTGGATCTTCATATTCGTTCAACTTGGCCCTCAGTACTAGAATCAGTCAGGGCAAATTGCAAATGTCCAATAGTCGGTGGAGTGAGATGTCAAAGATGAAACATGGTGGTATGGTACCTTGAAGCAAACTGTTACTGCAATGCCCATTGTGGCAAGGGAATTTTTTGTTGTGCACACCAATGCTGCAGGCCTATTTTATCTGATGTAGGCCAAATTTTGACGATCTACGTGTGTGGCAGTATGTGCACACTTGTTGATCGCATGTGGCAGTTTAAAGGTTACTGTAGTGTTAAAAATGTATGTGACTTAACATTGTAAATGTTGTTTTAAAATAAATCTAGAGACCTAGGTTAATGGTAATTGCATAGTTCACCAGTCTCCATATGAATTTTATACACAGCATAAAGATTGTAAACATAACCTGTCTGAGTGTTAGATTTCTTTGATGTGTACCACATACAGTAATTTATAACTTAGTATCACATTTCCAGACATTGCATCAGTATGTTGAGATTTTTGTCTTCTGCACATATATACCCTGAGAAATAACCTGTTAAATGTTAAAAGTTAAAAATTGGTATAAAAAATATCCAATAAATAAGAATAAGTCCCTGTAATACAAATTAGCATTGTTTCTCTTTATATAGCCAATGGAAGTTGAGGAAGTGGGCTGCATGGAAGAGGTATCAACAACTGGTTTAGAATCTGAATTAGAAATAACTGTAGAAGGAGCAACGGGAGAAACTGATGAAGATAAAGAGGAAGATTCTTTGACAGATGATGCTCCAATTATCATCAATGGAGGATCACAACCATGGCATTCTGCTGTCCCACAGGTAATAACCAGTATATTTTTATTATACTTTGCTTTAAACCTATTTTGTTATGGCATCTCATGGGTTACACCAAGTAGTTTGGAGAAGGGATACACATTCTTAATTTTGTTGCTTCATTCCACAGTTGTAGAGTACACAAGGAAGTAAGCAGCCTCATGTCTAACCTAGTCATGCTACAAGTTCAAAAATTGCGAGTGCCCATTGAGTAGGAGGCCATGTGCCGAATAGGGCATAACTGCTGTAAGAGAATGGTATACTCTATTCTGATGGTCACTACTTGTGACCAATATTTCATGTACAAATGCTTATGCACATGCATGCATGTGTATGTACATATGTTACTGTACCATACTATACTATAGACAGTGTTAATGACAATTCAGCATTAGCTACAGCTCTTCTGTATTTGACCATATGTTGAATTTTGTACCACTGCAGAATGTTGTTCAAAGGTTGCCATGACATATCAGTGTCTGCATATAGGTTCATGGATTTCTTGATGTACTAGCTATTGTGTAGATGTCTGTGTTTTCCAGTGATGATAATTTTGCCTATAGTGGAACCCTGAGTATCGGCCGCTTTGAGTTTCGACCACTTTTTTCGGCCAAGTTTTGTCCCAAGTTTTGGCCATTGCCCCGGGTTTTGGCCAGCATACCAGACCTGTTTGCCTGCCTGCTCTTGTGCGCCTTCCCACGCAGGCATCGTGATCCAGTCTACCGTTGTTTATCCTTGTGTGAACATGGCTCTGCACACTCATTCAGCCAGGCATCCAAGCAACTAACCAGCCAGCCAGGCAACCATTTCACAATATATTCATTGTGTTTAGTGCTTCTTCATTAATTGTGACTGTGAAATAAGCCACCATGAGCCCAATTTCCATGTCCCATTTTAATGAAATCTTGAGAGGCACCAGAAACAGAGCACTCTTGACAGTTATTTTGTGGGACAGGGGTCCAGTGACTCTCAAGCTGGTCCTATTGGCATTAAAAGACAAAGAAGGGAAGTAACCCAAGAGAGGGCTTTGATACCTGAAGTCCTTATGGAGGGGGATGTCCCTTCCAAACAATAAGTCCTTCCTCTCTCCTCCTCCCTATCTTCCAGATGCCAGCAAGTCTCTTCAATAAAGGTAAGTAAATGTTATTTTAAATGTTTATTTAAATTTGAATTTGTCTATTGTATATTGTATGTATTTATCTGTGTTGTGTGTATGTAAAACTATAGTTATTCTTTAAAAAATGTATCTTTTGTGAATATTTTTATGGGTCTGGAACAGATTAATTGTATTTACATTATTTTTTATGGGAAGTATTGCTTTGCCTTTTGGCTGTTTCAAGTTTAGGCCTAGTTCCTGGAACGGATTACGGCTGAAACTCGGGGTTCCACTATACTTGTACTATGTATTTCAACCTTGCTGCTTTTGGAACCCTTCTTCTAAACTTGGGTAAAATCTTTGGAGGATGTTTTCTCGTGGCACTGATAATCTTGTCTCTTTTTTGAAACTGGTACATTTTTGTTAACTTTGGTGATTCAGACAGCAATATTGGTCATTAATTTCAGTCATAACTGATCTTGAAAAGTTTCTGCAGGACTGGATTCCTGTAATAACACGGGATGTTGAAAGACAACGACGAGGAGTGCCAGACACAAGTTTAAGTGATGCTTATCTATGTGGCATGCCACTTAAGCGTCGCAAGCTTGCATCACAGCACAAACCACATGGCTCTGTGCAGCAAGTTGTACAAGGTTAGTTGGTTGTATTTAATCAGATAAGTAACATTGTTTAATGTAAAATAATTTCAGTAAGCTTCATTGCTTAATTTTTTAATTTAGAAAGTGGCTTGTATTATGTCATGATACCTTGAACAATGCACTACTGATTCACAAATTGAAAATAAAAGCCATACCAAAATGCCTTGCATAGTGCAGTTAATGTATGTCCAAAAATACTGTATTGTGCAATACCATAGTAATCAAGGTATTATTATAATGTGTTTTAATGTAATGCATTCCAACAATACAATTAAATGTGTCAGATTGCAAAAATATTTAGCCATTTGCTTAGTACAAATCAATGCACACGAAACTCTTGCATGCACTTGCAAATAAAGAAATTACAACAGATAAAACTGAAAAAATAGTAGTAAAGATTTTTATTACAGTTGTAAATAAACAGTAATATTTTTTTTTTTAACATGGCGGCTGTCTCTCACTGAGGCAGGGTGACCCAAAAAAGAAACAAAGCACTTTCACCATCATTCACACATTGCTGTCTTTGCAGAGGTGCCCAGTTATGACAGTTTAGATGTCATTCCAAACAGCCAATATCTCAAACCCCTCCTTTAAAATGCAAGCATTGTACTTCCCACCTCCATGACTTGAGTCCACCCTGAATCCCTTCACAAAATATGACCCTGCTCACACTCCAGTAGCTTGTCAGGTCCCAAAAACCATTTGTCTTCATTCACTCCTATCTGATACATTCACATATGCCTGCTGCATGTTCAAGCCCCCTTGCACACTAAACCTCTTGTATCCCCCCTCCCTCTCATCCTTTCCTAGGATGACCCCTACCCTTCTTCCCCTCCACTTCAGATTTATACACCCTCCAGGTCATACTATTTTGCTGCATCCTCTCTAAATGACCAAACCACCTCAATAACCCCACTTCAGCCCACTGACAAATACTTTTTGTAACTCCAGGCCTCCTCCTAATTTCCACACTAAGAATTCTCTGCATAATATTTACACCACACACTTGTACAACCCATGCTTCACCACCATGTAAGAGTGTTGGTACCACTATACTTTTATACATTCCCTTCTTTGCCTCTATGGATAATGCTTTTTGTCTCCTCAGATACCTCAATGCACCACTCTCCTTTTTCCTTCATCAATTCTGTGATTAACTTCATCCTTCAACCCATCTGCTGACAAGTCATCTCCCAAATATCTGAAAACATTCACTTCTTCCATACTCCCTTCAATGCGATATCCAATTTTTCTTTAAATTATTTGATACCCTCATCACCTTACTCTTATCTATGTTCACTTTTATTTTTTGTACCTTTACACACCCTCCCAAACTCGTCCACTAACCTTTGCAACTCTTCTTTAGAATTTCCCAAGAGCACAGTATCATCAGCAAAAAGTAACTGTGTCGACTCCCATTTTGTATTTGATTCCTCGTAATTTAGTCCCACCCCTCTCCCCAGCACCCTGGCATTTACTTCTTTTACAACTCCATCAATAAATATTTTAAACAACTATTGTGACATTACACATCCCTGTCTAAGTCCTACTTTTACTGGGAAGTAATCTCCCTTTCTCCTACACACCTTAACCTGAACTTTACTATCCTCAAAAACTCTGTGCAGCATTTAGTAACTTACTACCTGTTCCATATACTTTTAACATCTGTCACATTGCTTCCCTATCCATCCTATCATATGCCTTTTCTAAATCCATAAATGCAATGAAAACTACCCTACCTTTATCTAAATTCTGTTCACATATATGCATCAATGATCTACACTTGATCTACACATCCCCTACCCATTCTAAATCCTCCTTGTTCATCTGCAGTCCTGCTCTCTGTCTTACCTCTAATTCTTTCAAAAATAACCCTACCATACACTTTACCTTGTATACTCAGTAAACCTCCCCTATATTTTTTTACAATCCCCTTGTCCCCCTTCCCTTTATATAAAGGAACTACAGTGGACCCCCGGTTAACGATATTTTTTCATTCCAGAAGTATGTTCAGGTGCCAGTACTGACCGAATTTGTTCCCATAAGGAATATTGTGAAGTAGATTAGTCCATTTCAGACCCTCAAACATACACGTACAAATGCACTTACATAAATACACTTACATAATTGGTCGCATTGGGAGGTGATCGTTATGCGGGGGTCCACTGTATACACTCTCTCTGCCAATCACTAGATACCTTTCCTTCTTTCATACATTTCTTAAACAAAAATACAAACCACTCCAACACTATATCAGCCCCTGCTTTTAACATTTCTGTCACGATCCCATCAATTCCTGCTGCTTTACCCCCTTTTCATTCTACATAATGCCTCGCACACCTCCCACACTAACATCCCGCTTTTCTTCACTTCTAAAAGATGTTATTCCTTCCTGGACAGTGCAGGAAATTACTGCCTCCCTTTCTTCATCAACATTTAAAAGTTCCTCAAAATTTTCCTGGCATCTACCCAATACCTCCAGCTCCCCATCTACTAACTTCCCTACTCTGTTTTTAACTGGCAAATCCTTTCGTTCCCTAGGCTTTCTTAACCTGTTTCTCATTCCAAAGTTTTTTTTCTTATTCTCTGCAGAATTTGTTGAGTGCCTTTCCCACACTATCATTTGCTCTCCTTTTGCACTCTTACCACTTATCACCTTTCTTTTACTCTCTATATACTTTGTCCTCCTTATACCGCCTCTGCTCTCTAAAAACCTCTCAAGCTATTTTTTTTTTTTTAATTTATAGATTATTCAAAACCTGTACTGTTCAAAACCGTACTATGCAAATTATTACAGAGCAACATTTGGGTCTCTCCTGGACTGTTATGAAGTTGCTAATACTCTAATGATCAAGTAATTGCCTTAGATGAAATAAAATGTCCTGTTTTTATTTACAATTTGTGAACCAGTTGTGAATTTTATTCTTATTTGGTTTGTTCTAGTACTATTGTTATTTTGTGTCTTAAAAGAAAGTAATTTTATATAGTAGATAATATTCCAAGGGGAGATACCTTGATGTTGGCAGTTTGAGCTATCCCTTATGATGAGCACAAGTACTTATGAATGCCTGTTGTACATGGCTATGCAAAAAGATGCCAGCTTATACACAGTCAATAGAACACTGAAAAGAAAGAGGAATCAAGCATACAGTAGATGCTAGCATTGATTTACCATATATTCCTGCCACCAAAATTGTGTACAATTATTAACAATGAGTATATAGTAATACCGTGATTTAAGCTGAATTTGGAGAAAGGGCACGAGTATGAGAAATCTCTGCTGCAGTTTTAAACACCCATACTTAGGACAGATTCTAGTATGGTGTTAATCATCTCAGTCTCTTGAGCATCCAAGGCTGCCCCATATGCAAGGTAATTTTCCATGGGCCTCCCTCCCTCATCCGAGGAAGCAGAACCTCCAGCACACAGCACAACTGGCATTCACCCTTTACCCCAGTGGGTCACTCACTGAGAATAAACAAAACTCCCTGGCCTTTAAGCTGGCTCATGATGACATGCAGGAATTTGGTTGTGTGTGATGTGCATCGAATACAGTATTTACACTGCTCATACTACACTCCTTTCCCTTACCTTTTTGTTTTATATTTATCAGACCTTGTTGTTTCTCATTCCTCAAGTGCTGTATAACCCTTGTAAGTTTAGTCAAAACAGTTTACTGGACGATTTCTTGTGCTCAGTCGATAGAACAGAAGTAATACTAGCAAAATAGCTAAGAATTTGGTCGACTGGAATAATATAATTGGCCTAAAATGGGAGTCAGTCAGCAAAATCGCCAATGTGTAAATATCACTGACACATCAAAATTCGCAAAGCATAATTTCGTCAGTTTTCCATCAAATTTCGTACTTTGTTTCATTACCTTCAGGAAAAGATTCTCTACCATTTCATAAGAAAAAATAACAAAATTTTTTTGATAATACAGTGGACCTCCAACATTCGATGCATTTTAATGCAAAAATTTCGCCTCGACATTCGATGGAAAACCTGACATTTGATACGATTTGTACAAGACTTGTCCACGTGTGGCCTGAACTGCCCCATGTGTGCCAGTGTTTACAAGCCAGCCAGTGTGCGCGCATCTAAGGATACATTTGGTACATTCCATATTATCACTGTTTTTGGTGCTTGTTTCTGCAAAATAAGTCACCATGGGCCCCAAGAAAGCTTCTAGTGCCAACCCTGTGGTAAAAAGGGTGAGAATTAGTATGGAAATTAAGAAAGATTTTGAAGGGTTTGGGGCTAACCCTGAGAAGCCTATGCCAGTTGTGGACTCCATTGTGCCTTCTTAAAAAATTAAGAAAATGTGTGCAAAGTGGGTTGAACTGCAAACCTTTATGGATGAAAATCACCCTAACACAGCTATTGCAAGCCGTGCTTGTGACTATTACAATGACAATGTTATGGCCCATTTTAGACAAATCTTAAAGGAATGGCGACAGAGGTCCAGTGACTCTCAAGCTGGTCTTAGTGGCATTAAAAGAAGAAGGGAAGTAACCCCGGAAAAGGACTTGCTACCTCAAGTCCTAATGGAAGGGGATTCCCCTTCTAAAGAGTAAGAACTTTGACACTCTCCCTTCCTCCCATCCCATCAATCATCACCAGATCTTTATTAAAGGTAAGTGTCAATTATTCTATTGTTATTGTTATTGTAATTATTCTATTGCATTAAACTTAATATTTCATGTGGTAATTTTTTTTTCTCATACTTTTGGGTGTCTTGCACAGATTACTTTGATTTCCATTATTTCTTATGGGGAAAATTAATTCGACTTTCAATATTTTCGACATTCGATGAGCTCTCAGGAACGGATTAGTATCGAATGTCGGGGGTCCACTGTACTTGAACCCTGGTGCACACTTTGAAATTTGGCCTCTGGACCCTGAAAGGGTTAAAATTGAGCTCCAATTAGCGGAAATATTTGATTTTTGCCCATATTCCAGAGTAAACAAATCACATCACTCAGCCAGTATACTTCCAACTGGTGGGTCTGATAAGCATTCATGAATGTGCTGATATTTTTTATACGATTATTACAATATTGCATAACAGTAAATCTGTTTTTGTGTGTGAATAAAAATTTAAAATGGAATTCATATGTTAAATCTGAGAACATAACTAATGAATAGAGGAAATGTTATTTTAGTGCCAAGGATACCTGCATTGTTTATTCTGGACCCCATTTTGAAACTGAAATGTTTTGAAATTTGTGAAATTTTCCAAATTACCAATCTGTGATTGGGCAGTTTCCTGTGCACAGTCAATAAAATGGAAGACATACTACTGAAATAGCTAAGAATTTTTACAACTGGGACAATTGGTCTAAAACAGAACTCAAGGTGGGCAAAATCGTCGATGCGTAAATATCACTGACACGGCAAAATTTGGCAAAAGTGTAATTTTTTAAGTTTTTCCATCAAATTTTGTACTTTTTGTTTTATTACCCTCAGAAAAAGGTTCTCTACCATTTCATAAGAACTAATAACCATTTTTTTTTTTTTTTTTTGACCCTGTGGACACTTCAGATTGGGGAATTGAACATTTACAGGATTAAGTAAAACTTCTAATTTGTTTTTGAAATCTTATAATTGTTTGTAATGCTTTTGAGCATATTGAAATAACATGTATATTTAAATTTTTTATTCATAATTTTCTAATGAAATCTCTATGCAAATGTTGTCAACAGATACTTTGCGGCACAGCATGCGAGGTGCAGGTGTCAACCGTGTAGTTATGGACAGTGTTGCAGGTGAAGCTGGCAGTCAGCTAGGAGAGTCATTTGCTGGTCATATGCGCACATCGCTCAGGGAACGCCTCAATCATAATAAAGACTTTCTTCCTGAGAAATTCCCTAAAAGTGAAGAGCATATAAGGAAAGAGAAGTAAATTTTCAATATGTATATTTTAAAAGGCTTAAAATTATTTATCCGTGTATGAATTTTCCTGAATTACTTCAAGCTTTGTAATCATAATTTGTGAAATACTGGTTCTGGAGTGAGGAGAAACTTTTAAAACTCCCTAAGTATGGAATTGACAAATAATTTTAACAAGACAGAATTTTGTTTTTGAGGGGAATTGAAACTGGGTACAAGAATCCCACAAAACTTAGTACTGTAAGGAATAGCTTTAATGTATGCGAAGATTCCTTACAAATATAAATCTATATACGTCTTTTAGGAGTGTATGTATCCCTAAAAATTACAACTACTTAGCAAAATTATAACTTTTTGGGTTAGTAAGTTCCTTATACTGTATTGTACTTACAATGATACCCTTGACTTGCTCCAAACTGCAGATATTGTCTGTGATTCATTTATTCACACTCGTGAAGACTGATATGGGCATGCTGTAAGGAGGACCCCAAGTGGTGCTTAGGTTGTGCCTCAAAAGTAGAAATCTTTGAAATGTTAATGTTTGAGGACTTCTTAAGACAAATATTTAATTATGTATGTTTATCAATTAGCTGTTGTAATTGATCTTGGATTACCTTAAATGCATTAAAAAATAGAGTAAACTTTTTGTGTTTAATATTTTTCCTTTTTTTTTTTTTTCAACAAGTTTTTGTTAGGAACAGCATTGTCTCCAAAAATATAATGAAAGTAAATTAATAGGAATTCAGACAAAATATAAATATACTGTAAACTCTCATGGTGCAACCCTACGTGATGCAATTTTGGCTGAACGTTGCTGAAAAATAGCAGTAGGAGAACCCTGAGTTGTGTATGAAGTTCAGGTAAAGTTCTGTTGATTTTCACAATATGCTTGCTGGACTGCAAGTGTTGCTGCTACAGTCCTCTGCCTCCCACCAAGTGAAAGCAAGTCCCTAGAAAACATTTTTCTTAACATGTTTTCCAAATTCTATAACTTATGGGTTCTTCATTATTTTAAAGCGCTTCTATAAAAAATTTGTTTGTGGGGATATTCATTGCATTAATATAAGGAATGCTCTAATATACAGTAGAAGACTTCGATGATTTTAAATTATTTTTCTAGAAGGTTAGTAACCCAAAATTGTGCATTGTCACAATTACACTAAAAAGATATTCCCATGCCTTCAGAAACAGTGTACCTACTCTGTATTTCTTAAATTTGTTTGCCACCTATTGATGATAATTTATGTATTGTTAAGAATCATATCAATAATTGTTAAACGAGAAAGTAGTATAGCAGAAGTAAGAACTTCAGTGAAGCGCAGTTTTTGTCCAGTTATTGTGTTCGGGATTTACAGTATAGGTTCACCAGTTTTAGTCATATTGACCTATAGTCTGCACCTGACCACATCCAGACATAGCCTACCACATCTCTTGAGCAAGGCTCATGGTACAGACCATCATAGCACTTAAAAAGCAACAAAAAACCTGCCATTTTATTACAACTTCACTACATTTTCTTGGTTATTACTTTCTCAGATGCATTCATCTTTATTGAGAGTTTTAGTGTGATGAATGTTGCAGTGAGGAGAAGGCTGGAGGCAGTGGAGATGTCATGTCTGAGGGCAATGTGTGGTGTGAATATAATGCAGAGAATTCGTAGTTTGGAAGTTAGGAGGAGGTGCGGGATTACCAAAACTGTTGTCCAGAGGGCTGAGGAAGGGTTGTTGAGATGGTTCGGACATGTAGAGAGAATGGAGCGAAACAGAGTGACTTCAAAAGTGTATCAGTCTGTAGTGGAAGGAAGGCGGGGTAGGGGTCGGCCTAGGAAAGGTTGGAGGGAGGGGGTAAAGGAGGTTTTGTGTGCAAGGGGCTTGGACTTCCAGCAGGCATGCGTGAGCGTGTTTGATAGGAGTGAATGGAGACAAATGGTTTTTAATACTTAACGTGCTGTTGGAGTGTGAGCAAATTAACATTAACGTGCTGTTGGAGTGTGAGCAAATTAACATTTATGAAGGGGTTCAGGGAAACCGGCAGGCCGGACTCGAGTCCTGGAGATGGGAAGTACAGTGCCTGCACTCTGAAGGAGGGGTGTTAATGTTGCAGTTTAAAAACTGTAGTGTAAAGCACCCTTCTGGCAAGACAGTGATGGAGTGAATGATGGTGAAAGTTTTTCTTTTTCAGGCCACCCTGCCTTGGTGGGAATCAGCCAGTGTGATAATAAAATAATAATAATTAAAAGTTCTTGTATGTTCAATTCAGTTTGGTAAGAATGTGTGGCTTTTATTTTTACTTGTGTTGAAATGTGGATAGGTCTAGCTGATGCTGTTTTCAACACTTCTGTGTTTTGTTTTCTCTGGTTTTATCAAATGTATTCATCTGTTACTTGGTGTAGATATGGTAAGTTCCTGTGTTTGGTACAATTTGGTAAGGTGAAGCAGCTTATATTTTTATGTTTTATACCAGTGTACCTAATAATTGACTTCACAAGCCTTGCTGCATCCAGCTTGATCCAGTAGTCACAGTAACCCACACCATGCACTTTCTTGTTAACAAGCAACACCTGTTAGAATATAAGGCAAAAGAATTTTGACATACAGTATTAGGATATTAAAAAAGTTTTTGGCATTGTTGCAGATTTTAAGAATGTAACTTTATTTTATCCATATGTTTTTTGCCTTATTTAGCCCTATTTTACATAAGGTAATGATTTTCAGGAGTGTATCTTCCCTGTTAGGGGAGGGTTTACTGTATATTGCTGTTGTACGTTGCTAAGAAAATTTTAGTTACATTAAACGATCTGTTGAGCACAGCTTCAGCTTGTACAATGTTCATTTTAAAAATCTTTTTAAAAAGTTTTTAATTATATATTATACAGTTGAACACTATCATTGCGAACTTTTTGGGGCCGAGAACTTTCTGTAATGACTGAAATATCAATATGAATGAAGTAAAAGTACTTTATATACATATAAAAAAATGACTTGTGTATGTGCCACTTAATGAAGTACCATATGTATATGTCCTCCAACAGTACACCTATTTGAGGTGTTGTAGAATATTTAAGCATCTTGAGGTAGAATAAAGCATGGAAACTACAAAATTACATGGTATTGTAAGCAAACATGTCTGCTGATCGAACATTGGTGTTCTGCCACAGGTATTATGACATTGTTAGTTAATTTTTGAAAAGGATGCAGTCAAAACTGCAAATGAACAACCTGTGAATAGATATTAATATCCTGGATTTTTTGGCAGTACATTATTAAGCTTTGTGTACAGTCCCTGAATTTATAACTAACCATAAAATTTTGTTTTAATATGCATTCTGACCTTGCTGAAATCTTTATTATTCTGATCATTTTTTCGTATGTCAATATTAACCCTTAAACTGTCCAAACATTGATCTACGTTCACTCGCGTAGAGCTCTGAATGTAGATTCATTTTTTTTTTTTTTTTTTTTTAAACATTTGAAAGCATGTAAAATAAAACATAGATCTACGGTTGGAGTGCTACATGAGTGAGCATAGCTCTACGTTTGGACAGTGTAAGGGTTAAGTGTATGAGAGTGACATAAGTTCTTTGAAACAGTCCAAATCTGAAACAAAATTTGTTTGGCAGGCATGAGTTAATATTCATTTTAAAATTTATTGGATAGCTAGGAATGTAATATTCACAAATATATAGGGATGACTTCAATCCTCTCGGCTGTTTTAATGCTAGAGTAGATGATTTAAACATCTGGAATAGAAATCAGCATATTCAGTATTTAATTGTACATTAAAACAAAGAATAATTCTGTTTTTTAATACAATTTGTATGTCATAGTGAAAAGCAAAGGATGCCATATAGAAAGATAACTGTCAACATCCATGGTTTATGAATTCAGTATGTGTCCAGCATATCTAACAAAGGTAGATGTTTTTAAATGCATGATCAGCCAGGTTGATAGATATGCAGGCCTCTGAACTACAAGCAGGAGCTGCTTGGTTGACTAGGCAGTTAACCAAAGTCTGGCTTTAAGCTGGGCTGCAAGAGTAGAAGAACTTCAAAATTAGTTACCAGTACTGTATATTCTGTAACTTGTTAATCACCAACATTTGGATCGGGCAGAATTATTTTGACATGTATCATTACACTTTCAAAGTAAGCAAACATGAAATAAAATGTTTACACTTTGCTGTGGCACTAAGCAGGTTCATGAAATGATGCATGCCACTTTCTTTATCAGTACTTGACAAGAGTTTATTCCCGGAACTAGTCTCTTGACTTGTCTCATGAAGTGTTTTTTTTTTTTTTTTATCAGAAGAGCAATAGTTAACAATGAATTCACATGTAACAAAGGTGTTCGACTATTATATTGTATGTTATTAAAGCCAATATATAAAAAATATATAATGTTTTTTTGTTCTCTTTAGACATAAATTATTGATGGTAATGTATTTGGCACTTAATCTGAAATATATTACAGCTAATTTTTGATATTCTAGTATTTGTCATAAACCTTGTATAACTAAAAGAATCACAGGTAATCCTGAATTCTGTTGTTTAAAGACATCATTGTGATATTGTGAATACTGCAGTTCTAGCATTTGTAATATTAATTTAAAGCTTGCTGTTCTGTTGAGTTTTAAAACTAGAAAATGGATTACATCAGATTTGAAAATTTAAACACATGTGCAACATCTGGGTATCTTTATTGTAGACGGTTCGCCATCCAGTGGCTTTATCAATACAAATTCAAGGACTTGAATGGATGACAAGAACTATGTACAAAAGATGAAGTAATCAGTCCCTCAGCCTTGGAGTTGGTGTGAAGAGCACTGTAGTCGTGAAGATTCTGGAGCACAGACAAGAAGTCTGGCACTTATATAATGGCGTTGGGTGGAAGGGGATGGCAAGCAGACAAGGGCATAGTCACTGGTAGGCAGGATTCCCTTGTCTGCTGGCCAGCCCCTTCCACCCGACACCAGTGAATAGCACCAGACTTCTTGCGTTTGTTCCAGAATCTCCATGACTACGGCGCTCTTCAAACCAACTCCAAGGCTGAGGGACTGATTACCTTATGTTTTGTATATAGTTCTTCTGTCTTCCATTCATGTCCTCGAATTTGTATTGATAAAGTCACTGGATGGCGAAACGTCTGCAATAATGGTACCCAGATGTTGCACATGTCTAAATTTTCATCTTGTCGGTATTGTATACCATTCATGTACTACGTCAGATTTGCATAATACTTAGTCTGTAGTTATTTAATAGAGAATGTATTGTCTCAGGCTGTGATTTTTAATTTCATCCTAGTGCTGTCAGCTCATTTAGTATGGAAAATTTTTTGACATAATAATAGTGCATAAGTTGCATGTGTCAATATTCAAATTGTGAAAAAGATAAGCCAAGTAAGGAAAGCTTCAATGTAGGATTTGGAAATATTGTATATTTCCTTTAATAATATTTTACCATTTAAAAGGTAATTTCCTACGAAGGGTGGTCACTGTGGAACATACTCGTTATGTTACTTGTCCATGTTTTATTCATCTCAGTGTCCCTTCTTACTATTGTGTTGATTTTTTTTTTTCCATCTTGGTTTCCCATATATTTGTGCTGTTATCCATAGAAACTCAGGGCCATTCTTTCATCAAAATA